CAAGGTCAGTCAAGTACCCTCAGGATTTATCCTGTAACCCTGTACCGCAGTTTGCAGATCCTTTGTCAGTGTCAGCCTTGTGGATGAGATTTTTATGAGAATAAGAAAACTGTTTGCATCCATTCCTTCAATTTAGACAATCTGGAAGAGTAAAATGCTAGGCCAAGTAAAGATTGAGCCACATGTCCAGCAAAGTAGTGCCTAGGTCCTCTCTGTAAGTACTACAAAGAGAAGAGCTTCGTGGAAACTATGGGGCAAACCTTAACACTAAAAATCTTACTCATCAGGGGGAACCAGGAAACCCTGGACCTCGAGGTGCACCAGGAGCTGAAGGATTACAAGGCCCACAGGTGTGTTGGATTATTCCCAAATTAATGGTAAATACTGTGGAATTATTCTGATGGGAAGGCAAGTAGCTTTGAATAAAAATCAATAGTGGAGAGATTCTTAAACTGCAACTCCCGTACCACATTCTTACCATATTCTGCATTTGTCATCATGGGGTAGCATGTGATTTTGTTCTCTCAAACTGTGCCCGCATTTACAGCGCACTAATCCTCTTTTCCAGGAGAAAGGTATGATTTTGTGATCACCTGGCATTGTATCTGGATGTCGGGACTCACATCACAATAGTATATAAGTCACTAGCATTAGCACCAGCAAATTGGTTTTCTATAACTGAGGTCCTATACATTAACTCCTACAAGGAAAATTAGCCAAGAGCTAGAAACTATTTTTCAGTGTACCTAACACTGAAGTCACAGAGAACATCACCTTGGTAATGCTATTGATGGAAATTTATGTGGGCCATTTACATTTTTTTGCATGGTCACATCATTAGTGATAGAGGACCAGAAGTTAGAACAGCTCTCCTACTGTCCTCCATTCCAGAGCAAAGATGTGGCCATCCCTAGACAGTGACTTTATTATGTATAGTTACTTTATGGAGGCCACACTATATGAAGCTTGCTTTAAGCCTGGACTTGTCACAAGGGGTCTGTGTAGATGCACCTATTCTAAGACTTTCTGGGAATTCTTACTTCTTCTAGAATGTTCCAGATCATTAGTACAAAACTAGAATTTGAGATTCTCTTGAATGGTTCTGGGTCCCTGAATAAGGCCATAAACTCCTATGTGTTCTGGCCTGGGTAACCAAAGAAACAACCTAGGTTTGTTCACAGGTGTGGGTGGGTAGAAGCAAGGTAACAGCTACCTCAGATACTCCAGTGACAACGTGGGCCATGAATCAAGGCTTACTCTGGGCAGCCAGAGCATTGGTTGTGAAGAGCATTCTCTTGAGTTTTCTCTTCTAGAATATAAAACAGTTACATGAAAACTATGTGTATACTATAAGGCAAATATGGTAGAAAAATACACTTTGATTCTTCTGGCAGGAGTTTGTTGCCAAAACGATCTTTGGTGCTATCTTTTTTTTTAATGCATTTGATATAGGGTCTCACTAAGCAATTGGACTCATAGTGATCCTCTTGCTTTCAGCCTCCCCAGTGCTGGGATTACAGGCCTGCGCCACTACACCCTGTCTTGATTGCTGGCTCAGTGTGCCTGGGGTGGGGTGGGGAGCTAAGGATTGAGACCAGGTCCCTGCACTTGCCTAAGCAGGTGCTTAGTGCACTGAGCTATCTTGCCAGCCCCTTTGATGCTAATGTGAAACAACTTTGCTCTCTATTTTATGCATTTATAAACACTTTGGCCCAGATGGATTCCACCTTTCTAAGAAATCTGTTTGACTTCTGTCGGTATCTTGCTTTCTCTATGGGCTTTTTTGTCTTTGGTTGATTTTTACACCTTTCTGTAGGATAAGAATGAAGGTCTTATGCCCAGGCATGGGTGTCCTTAGTTAGGTCTGTACACTAAGTCTGGCTCTGCCCTTAGTTACTCAATTCATGCAGGTGAATTTCAGAGTTAGAAGGCTGTGGGCAGCACTGGGTCATTGCTTTTCCTCCGTGGATAGGTGGGTCAAAAGCACTAACCAAGAAAAGAAGCTTCGTTGACATCTTTGCCTTTTATTCTCTTCCTTACCGCATAAGGGACTGAGTGGAAATCCTGGCAGGAAAGGAGAAAAAGGAAGCCAGGGGCACAAAGGACCTCAGGTGAGTGACACAGTGACATTAGTGTCAATGGTTCCCACCCTTAGTTTTTCCTTATTGCAAAAACGCATTCAAATATAATTTATTTGCTATCACTGACACAGAAATAATTCTTTTCTGGGTCACTATGGGTCAGATCTTTAGTCTAGATCATTGTCCTTATACCTGGATGAAGTTCTTCCCTTTCTCTATTACTGGGATTTTACACTAAAGGCACAGACCCACTTCATCAGCTTAAAGAAACTTAAAGAAGAAAACACATAAGCTGAAGCATGAACATTTCCTCCAAAACCTGAGACATCATTCCACTGTGTAACTTGTGAAAATCTCTTGTGCCCTGCACATTACATCTCCACTGGCCACAGATCCGTGAGACTGACTGCACAAAGACTGCTTGGTACTCAAATCTATCTGATTCTTAAATGTGTCTCTTGAGGTTGGCATCTGAATCTGCTTCCTGTGGGAATAATAGGAATTGGATGGTGAGGGATTTGTGGGATGCATTTTCTGAATTTCTTTAGAACTTTACTCACTTCAAGGGGCAGAGGATCCTGGGTTTGCTCAATTATCCTCCCTGTGGCTGCCTGGAGGACTCTCTCACCCATTTTTACATTGGGAAACTGAACAACATCCTGTGTGGCCACACATATATGTCTGTGGTGCTGTGTGCAAAGCTGACAGCAGCCAAGTGTTTCATTCTAATGGCATCAACGCTTTACAGTAAATTCCATACATTTCGAAAGAGTGGTGGGGAGCCCTATGTGGATTAGTGAAGGTCAGGCAGGTGCAAGCCCATGGTTTTTTAGCTGGAGCTGGAGCTGGAGCTGGAGCCTGAATCACCTGAATGAGCCAGAGAGCTCACTCCTCTGGGTGGCTAGAGCTCTCTTCTTAAGGAAGTATTAAGGGCTACTGGAAATGAGATGAAGAAAAGTGAAACACTTCCCATGGGTTTTTGAAGAATTGCTGTTGCACTTTCATTTTATTTTCATTCATTAATTAGTTAATTAATAGTACCTGAAATGGAACCCAGGCCTTTCACACAAAGATATATCCCCACTCCTTTTTAAAATTTGATTTTGAGACATGATCTTACTAAGTTACTAAGTTGCCCAGGCTGACCTTCAACTTGCAATCTTCTTGCCTCAGCCTCCTAGAATGTTAGTATTACAGATGTGAGCCACTATGCCAACTTGCAGGTTTAATTTTTGCATGAGTCCCCTTTTTTGTTTTTTAGGGTTCTTCTGGAATAGTGGGACCTAAAGGGAGCATTGGGAGAACTGGACGTTTGGGGAGAAAGGTAAATGTTGATTGCAAATACTGAAACCAAAAGTACCTGTGTCTTCTCCCTGATTTTCATATTGGCTCCTCATATGAATGAGTCCAAGCACCATCACTACACCATTGGCATTCCAATAATACCTTTTCTTTCTTTCACTGACCAAAGAATTTTTAACTTTTCAGAAAGAAAGCTGCCCTCTTATTTTCCTGGGAGCAATGGTGATCTTGCGCATCGTGAAATTGTGCTCTACCAGTTTCTGATTACTAAATTTAGGAACATGCTTGGTACATCAGTTGGGTATAACAAGGAATGATAGAGCTCAGACTTGCCTGTGTGTGTACTTTGTAATTCAGCTCCCTACATCTACGGTGGCTCTCTTCACATTGCAGCAAACTATTGGCCCTGTCAGAATCTGACTCTCCTGCTTACACCTCTTTAGGGCCCAGGACCTGGGAACCGGAGGTCTATGCCTTTACAGAGGTCTCATTGAGAAAAGCCTCTCTGCTTGGTTCAATTCTATGCTGCCATGGTCTTGAAACTCATAGCCTCTGAGCAAAGGGTCTAAGTTTTCCTTTTACACTGAGCCCAGCAAACTATGGGGAAGGCTTTCTTTTTACCTTGGCCCTTGAGAAAAATCTTCAAACCTCAAGGTAGTAATAAGATCAGTAAGTTCTAAGGAGCTAATGTGTATATCATGGTGACTATGGTTCCAGATATGTTACCGTACATTTGAATTTTTTTGTTAAGAGAGTAGAGCTTAAATGTTCTTATAGAGTACACACACAGAAAGAATGTTAAGTTGAAGTAATAACTGTGCTAACTAACGTGGCAATTGTGTCACAAGATGTATATGTATCATACTGCATGCCTTAACATGTTCATTATGGTGCTGAATTCATATGGCTGTCCCATCTGGCAGCATTGGATAGTGTTAACTGGTGGAACAAGCCACCTGATAAGACAGTCATGCATGTATCACTGATGGTATAAACCAGTAATAATGTGTGAAACATGAACAATTTCAGTTGTCAATTATACACCAATAGAGCTGAAGAAGTGGTGAAATAGTTTCCAGGGCCTTTGCTGTCTGCACTGTTTAATTCTAAGGCTTACCAGCCTGTGTCCCCACCCAACCTCCGCAAGCTTGGCCCACCTCTGCCAGTGTCTCCCTCTACCTGGATAGTATCCACCTCCCAAAGCTCCTTCCCTTGGCCCACACAGCATCTGTTAGGCCTCAGCTTTCCTACTCATTGCCTTTGTCACCTGCTAGTGTGACTCCTTGCTTCAGTGACAATGGAAATGAAAACTAAAGCAATAGTATGAATTTATAGTCAAAAGTTTTAAATAGATATAAGAAAAAATAGGAAAAGATTTTAGCCTGAGGAGCTGACAAATGCCAAACTGAACCCTATGTAAAGAAAGTAAGAGGAACATAGGGAAAGGACTCTAGCAGGGGTAGCTGGAGGAGGCACACTCATGAAGAGGATGAGACTGGCTGATTAATGAAGAAACAGGATCCATTTTATGGGGTGCTATGGTGGGGTAGGATCCAGTCAATAATTATGCCTATCCTTAGCTTGGGAGACAGTCTCATAACCTGAGAGACAGTTCAGTTCTTATGAGGTCACTGTTTTTGCTCTACAGGAATCCAAGGTGACCCTTGATGTAGAGCAATATAGACTCCTGAATGTCCCTGTCTCTGTAAATTTCTAGTCCTAGTGTCCTCAGTCTGGAAGGGCAATACAATGGTGGGGGTGGGTGAGGGCTAATAAGTCTCATTTTACCAGCTTTTAGACAAACACTTCCTGAAGGACTGCTGTGCCTATCTGTAGAACTCAGAAGGATTTGACCCAGAGTTTTACAAAATGAAGACCAAGTTTTGTTTTACTTTTAGTTACTTATTGGGCACTTATAGGCCCAAGAGAAGAGTCATGATTTTTAGCAAAACCTGCTTGTATTTGTCACTTTTCTATCATTCAGACAAAAACCTTGGAGGAGAGGTTGACTTAATTCACATTGTTGAAGGGTTCATCCTATGGATAGCTGGCTCTGAGGTATGGATAGCATGGTAGAAGAGAATGATGGAAGATAGTTGTTCACCCCATGGTGGCTAGGAAGCAAAGAGAGGAAGATCCAGTGACAAGAACACAGCCTTCCAGGTCATGCCTCAATGGCCTATCTCCAACCAGGCCCCCCATCTTACCAGCATATTCAGACTTGAGCTCATCGATGTGTTAATCCACCAATAAAGGCAATGTTCCCCTGATCTGATAATCTTCCAAAAGCTCTACATTTGAATGAAAACACAAAGCACTAGGCTATAAACCATAACATGCTCCACCTTAGAAGAAAACACAAATCATGCTTTAAATATTAAAGCAGTTTATCTCTTCTGTCAGGTTGAACTGGCTCCCCAGGTTCACAAATCTGATTTGGACCTTGCACCCTGCCTTTGCTTCCATGGCTCTGCAAGCTTTATCATACACTATTATGCTTTCCTGCATAGTTATTTGTTTCTCTAAACTAGATTGGGCTTGATGAGGGCAGGACCTTATCTCTTGGGTTCAATAGTCTATTTTTCATGAAAATGATATAGAAATAATAGAACACTCAACAAGTTAGATGCCAAATGTGCCAACTTAGTGGTCTCACAATATTGCGGGGTGAAGTTACAAACCAAAGGAGGAAGTCAGGAGTGTTTCATTGGGAATAAGGAGAAGAAGAGCTCCTGGATTTCTGGGAGGCATTGCGAGTGGGTAGCCACCGAGGCCCTTTGTTAGGGATAATTTATACAGCAAAGTCACAATGTGGGTCAAACTACAATCAACTGATAGTCTAATATTGATCGCACAGGGAAATGAGCCACGCATCAAGGGTAAGTGGCAGATCAAAGGAATTTACAGAAAGGGAGGGGAGTATGGGTCCAGATGTTCTGGTCACCCGCCTATGCCAGGTGGTACTTGTCTCAGTTACACTTCTCTTCTTGCTGGGACAAATACCTGACACTCAAAATGAAGGAAGGAAAGGTTTATTTAGCTCACAGTTGGTGGAGATTTCAGTCCATACTCAGCTGGCTCCAAGGCAGAGCAGCACATGGCAGAGAGCAACCTTTCATGGTGGTGGCAAAGAGCAGAGAACAAAATGGAGGAGCAACAGCAACAATGGCAACAGAGAGCAAGTCTTTCCCCTGCTTATCTGCCCCAGGCTGGTTATAGGACTCACACCCATAATCCCAGCAGTACTCAGACCCATCATCCCAGTGGATCATGAGTTAAGCACAAACTCTAGAAGTCCTCCCTATAACTTCATGAGGCTTTGGGGGGACAAATACACACAGACCCTAACAGTGCTAATCACAGTATAATCTCAAGTTGGTGTTTTCTTGAAGGCCTGGCTACTGAGGCCCGCAGCTCATACTCATAGTGATCCTCCTGCTGTCTCAGCTTCCCCAGTGCTAGGATTACAGGTGTGAGCTACCACCCCTGACTTTTGTGGCCAGCATGGTGCACCTAAGAACCCAAGGCCGGCATGGCATGCAGTACCAGGGATTGAACCCAGGTCCTTGTGCTAGCCAGGCAGGTGCGCTGAGCTGTCTCCCCAGCCTCAGATTCACCTTTATCCATGATCCCAATCCCTTTATTTTTGTGTGTTGACTTCCTTGAGGGTCCAGTTCCTCTCTGACTATGCATCATTTCTATATAACTTAGCTGCCTACTGAAAAAAGCAATTTTTGGATGAATACATACATTAGGGAATGAATCAACTTTCTCTGGAGTGAACTTTCTACTCTCTGCCTTCTGTGTTGGTCCTTTTTATAGTAACTGTGAAAGCAGTTCTTGAGTCCAGCCCTTGGCTGTGCTCTTTGACTTTCTCCTTTGGAAAGCTCTTGATTCGTGCCCTCCGTGTGTCCCCTTCTAAACGCTGAGCCTTCGCCGCGAACCTCCTGTGCCCCATCCAGCGGACAGGTTTCCTGCTGCGAGAGCCACATTAGATTTTAGCATCTGAAACTCTTCTTACTTCATTTATTAGGGAGAACCTGGAGTTCCTGGAGACCCAGGGCCAGTGGGGCCACCTGGAGAGCGCGGAAAGCAGGTAGGAGGCTCGGACCCCCCCTCCCCCCAGCCTCTGAGTGCTCAGCTCTGAGGTAGGGAGAAGGGGGCTGACACCATCAGCCCAAGCAGCTTTACAGCTTGGGAGGCTTTTCAGCAACAGGAAGAGGTGAGGCTTTTCCCTTACCTCCTAAGCTCTCACTCTGCCGCTGGTCTGTTAAAGTAAGAAGGATTAAAAAGGAGGCAGGGATGATGATGGATGAATTAGAGCAGCATATTTCAGTATTTGAACAGCCAGTTCAGTTTTGTTGGCTGAAACACAAAGCTGCCTCTTTCTCTCCCCTTCTTGAAAAACTTGAGTAGGATAGGGAAATGGGTGCTGCCTTTTTAGGCTTATACTTTATTTTAGTAGATCTGACTGTATCAAAATCTGTATACACAAAATAGTTAGGATAGATATATAGCTATTTTCTCATAATTCAATGAGAAGAAAGATTTGCACTAATGGTGTTTGGACAGGATGTCGTGTCTGCCTCTTGAACTACGAATAACCACTATGAAGACAACAATATGCAATGTATTGAAATTGTCCTATTAATCTGTTTTGAAACTGTGTCATTGCTATTTGTTTCATAATAAAATTTAAAAAACTAAAAAAAAAAAATCTTCACACAGGGCCAGGGAGATAGCTCAGCAGTCTAAGTGCCTGCCTAGCAAGCACAAGGACCTGGGTTCAATCCCCGGTATCACATGCCATGTAGGCCACCAAAACAGGGTATGGTTGCACATTCCTGTAATCCCAGCTCTGGATTTCAGAGCTCTGGGGAGGCTGAAACAGGAGGATCACTACAAATCTGAGTTGCATAGTGAGACCCTGTGCCAAAAAAAATCAAATTAAAAACAAAAAATAAAAATAAAATTCTTTGTGCATAAAACAGTCAGTAGAGAGATATTCTGTTCCTTTTAAAAAACATATTTATCATAAGCATTCTGTGTAAATATTGTAAACAAATGTACCAAGTGTGAGCATTATTCACAGTAGCCAAGATAGAGATCCAACCTAGGTATGCATCTGTGGAGAAATGCACCGCAACCATCACAGGTAATGGGGTTCAGAGTGGGGGTGACCAGAGATTAAGAACAAACTAGACACATGGGCAAAGGAAAGCCGGGCCTGGGTGGGACCTGACCTCTCTGATGGAGAGGCAGCAACTACCCATCATGCTCTGCTTCTTTATTTATGCACAGTAAAAAGCAGAGAAGAAAACAAAGAGCAGAACAATAGGAATAAAATATATGATGTATAAAATATAGAAAAGAAGGATAGAAAGAAAAGTTGTTCGTAGTTACACCATTTAGAAATATTTATTATTAACACCCTACAGATAGATAGAGGTTGAGAAAGAGATTACAGAGATAGAAAAGTATCAGTCCTGTTTTCCCTTTTGGCAATGTATCATAAGCATTTTTTCACTTTCATATATTTTTCTCTCAAACTCACCTATAATAGCTTCAAAATATATAGTTTATAAATATATACTGAATACCTTAGTACTGGACCAGACTTGTGTTATTGGAGATTTAATTTGCTTTCAGTTTTTCAGTTATGAACAGCACAGAAATGAACAGCACATTCCCCTACCTAACTAAACTTTTGGACAAAACTGTGTTTTTTTTTTCAGTGTTGGGGGGCTTGGATCCAGGGCCTCACGGATGCGTGCTAGGCAAGTGCTCTAGCACTGAGCTACATCCCCAGCCCCCAATAAAGTAATTTCTAGAATTTTCATAGCTAAGTAAAAAAATATGTATATGTTTGATGAAGGCTGTACACTATATTTTGACAGTTCCCTTAGGAAAATTCAAACAATATATGGGTTCATTTTTTATATGCAGGAGAGTACCTGTTTTGGGACTTCCAAAGTAATAATGGGTATCAAAATTTTCCCCTTGACTCCATGGATACCTCCTTATTGCTCCAAAGTCTACTTTTTTTTTTTTTTGGTTAGTTATGAGGATGAACATTTTCCCCATATATTTATTGGCTGTAATTTTTTGACTCTTTATCATACTCTTTGGGCCAGTTTCTACTCTTCCAGGCAAGAAACCACCACTGTAGTTTCTTGATTCTACAAGTACCGGATGGTCATTCCTCTCTGCTTCCTGCAGTGGCTGCAGGGTGGAGCTTATTAAAATTTCGTGGCATGTGGCAACAATGGGTTGAGACTTGTAGCAGCTAAATTTCTCTCATAACCCAATCCTGCCCAGCATGTACAGGATAGTCATGAGGCACTGTGCTAACACTGGCTAAAAACATAAATACAAGATAAAATAGACATAAGAGCCTACACTCTTCCCAACAAACCCTGACTCATCTTTCCCCCAAGAGTTTATGTGTGTAGATCTCTTTTTTTTTTTTAATTTTTATTTATGTGGGGGGGGGGCAGGGCTGGCTGGCATGTGGTGCTGGAGGATTGAACCGCGGTCCCTTTGCTTTGCTAAGCTTATTCTAAGTAGGTGCTTTAGATAACTGAGCCATCTCACCAGCCCATGTGTAGATCTCTTAACCTGAAACTGAAGGGGCTTTCTGTGAGACCTGAGGAAATTGCCTTGTCAATTTGCATCCTGAATGTGCAACGTGAGATACAATACAGGCGTTCCTAAAAGACTAGTAGGAACGAGGTGACCAGGAAAAGCATTCCTGAGATACCTAGGTTCACTTCTTAGAACCTTTTCCCATGTCCTCAAACTCTTACAAAAACTCTGATTTCTCACCATAAAGGTCAGATTCTTCTTTTGGAACATGCCTGCTTTCTTTCTTAATCAATGTAACTTAAACATTTTTTATTAAGAGGATAAAAAGTAATATTTAAAAAAAAAACCTTAGAAACAATACAAAATTTTACTAAACAAAATGACAGGAATTCAATAATGGATGTTATAGTGCATATTATTGTCTTCAAATTAGCTGTTCAGAGTACCACATATAAGGATACAAAGTTGGTCAAAGAAATTTAAACAGAAGAAAAAACATTAATCATTAACTGTTCTTTTCATTGCACCAACAGAAATCAGCAGTTATGAGCTTTTAACTGTACTATACTATGAAAAAGATTATTTTTGTCTTTCTTGATAGGGTATATTGATTTGAATAAACTTGTGTTTTCTTTTTACCAATCCTGATGAAATCTTTCACTACCAATGTCACAGGCACTCTGTATGTGGCCTAGCATAGTAGGGGACGTATCAGGAATTGAGGACAATCGAGCCATACGTATTTTCAGGGTTCAAGGTCCCCGAGGAGGTCTCCTGAACATAGAATTCCACAGCATTTCTCTCCTGATACCAGCACTGCCCTAGTACAGATTACAATAAATTGTCACTTTTGAGAAATTGAAACTAATTGGTATGTTTACAGGGAGATTATGGCATCCCAGGATATGGTAACATGGGACGAAAAGGAGTAAAGGTAAATGTGGAAAACATTTTTTTGATTGGTAAGTCAAATCTAAATAATATGGTCATACTTACAATATGGGACATTGATTCATTTATGTAATCTGATGAAAATTACAGGGTCCAAGAGGATTCCCTGGAGATGTGGGGCAGAAGGTACTGTGCACGTGAACTTCTTTCTTGCCATGATCTTAACGTTTATCTGGAGAATTTGGACAAGCCTATGGCTCCAAATACAACAGAGAAGGGGTAGGGGAAGCAGGGCAGCTTTTGCCTGGGTTTTATGAGGAAGAGGCGTACTCACCCCTGCAAATTTTCATATTAGAAAGTATTTTCATGTCTTTCACTGCCTGATGCCCTGTACCATGATGCCCTCCCTACCTTTAAATGTCCTCTCCACTTTGTCTCTGTTCTCTTCTTGGTTGCTATTTGTTCTTTGTTGTTGAGGATTTATTTCTTCTTACACCAAAGATTATAATAATTTCTTATTGGTCCTCCACTTCTATCTTACCCTGTTTCCATCGATCCCTAACACTAGTGTCACCAGATTTTTCCAAAGCAGATTCTCATCATTCTGCTTTCTTGATCAAAGGTCTTCCAGAATGCCTCATTCCTGCTAGACTGAAACCCATCTCCACGCTATAGAACCAGACACACCTCCTATTTCATCCAAAGTAGCTCCCAGCATGTCTGTATGTGGGGATTCTTATTACAATGTCTTTTTCAAAACCAGGTGTGTTCTACACAGTTGGTGTTCAGATAAAGATGCAAAATATCAGTAAAAATAGAATGTTTCATTAATCAAATAAGTTATAGGAAAACAGCCAAGACTTTGAAACCTTTTAAACGTATTTTAATTGATGAATTACCAATAGATTCCTCCCTTAGAAAAGGGTGCAAGAAGGTGCTGGATACAAACTGTTAGGTAGGATGAGACTTCTTATCAAAGAGGGTCAAGTTTCTAGTTTACTGAGACAGAGAAAAACAGTGTATTTCAATTTATTGATAAATGTAAAACAAGTATATTGATAAGTAATTGTTAAAATTAGTTTCTCATCAGAGTCAAAGTAATTTTTTTTTACCTTCAGCTTTTTCAGAAATAATTCATGAGTTTAGGAAAACATTCAGTATTTAGTATTTTATGGATACTCCATGTATTTTTTTCCTGTTTTTTAAACATTTACTTTGGATGTTTTTAGTAACTAAGCAGTCACTGAATTGATGTTAATGTATGAATAGTTTCTTTAATAAAATATCACAAATAGTTTACAGAATAAGTGTACTAATTATTTAGTTCCAGATGACAGGACAAAATGTCATGTAATATTGTACTGGTTTTCTTTAATATATAGTTATAAGATCAGTTCAGTTTAGGTTTGGAGAAAATTTCTTATTCTTTTACAGACTCTTTTTTTTAACATTTGGAATCTTAGGGTGAAGTTGGAGATCCTGGAATTCCTGGAGAGCTTGGACCTAAGGGGTTCAGGGGACTAACTGTAAGTGGCCTCTGATTCCAGGCATAGTAAATGTTTCTCTGGCTTTTACCTTGTGACAATGACAGTGGGTTATCCAAAATGGCATCCAAAATACCACTAGGTAGCTATGTGACCACCAACACACTTATTTTTGGGGACTGTATTTCTGTAACAGAAGAATTGAACTTAGTGACATCAAAGGTCACTTTTAGCTCCAATAGTTTGGAGCTGTAGTTTCATTCATCTGAGCTATTTTAAAGATTTACAGATTTATGCCTGAGTACTTCAGATGTATCAATGTTTTCTGTCTATTCTAAGGCACATGTATTTCCTGTGAATGGAAATGAAGTTGACCTCATCTCTCTGTGTTCGGGAGGGCTTCCCATGATTCCACTATCAATGAGACAATAATATGGGACATTCATTTTAAGGAAGGATGTTGAAATCTTTTAATTAGCAAAGCACAGGACAGAATACTATGCTTACTTAAGTCCCAAATGCAGAGCCATTTCAAAGTTTGAGTGCCAGATCATCGGTCATCCTCAGGGTGAGAGAGACACAATTCAACAGATGTTGTCCACCAGCTGGATACATTTCCTTAGCATCTACAGCCATCACTCTGAGTATGGCACTGATGCAGCGAAGTTGTGTGTGAGGACTCATTTTCTTACTTTATCATTTATAAATGAGAAAATTTTAAAATTAGATCTCTGTGGGCCTTAGTATATTTGCTTTTCACATTAGTACCCATCCCAGTTTATGACTAATTTGGATTTAAACACAGCCAGTGCCAGAACCAGTTATGTTGCTAAATGAAGGGGCTAAGAGGGAAATGGCTGGCTAAGAATGAGTAGCTTATACTACAGATAAGAGATTCATCTGATTTGAATTAGTAGCTGCTCTCTCTTAAAAACAAATTTAAGAAAATTATAGTCTCATTAAAATGAAGATAATCTTCATTGATAGAAAATGTTGAAACTAATGTACACTCCTATCTGCAGCTCACTATAGGCTTGAAAGGTGAAAGAGGACATCATGGATCACAAGGCCCGCCTGGGCGGAAAGTGAGTAAACTCCTGAAGCCTGCGTAGTGTGTACGCTGGTTTTATGGAAAGGGCATGGAATTTAAAGACAGAAGTACTGGATTCCAGTCCAGGTTCTACTTCCTACTAGCTGTATTCCTGGAGTAGTCATTGCATTTGTGCTTATTTCTATAGTCAGTGTGACACGTACTGTCCTAATCTCCTTAAAAGTTAACTATGAGGAGCAAGCAAACCAAGGAAAACTGTGAACTACAAACTGCAATGCCAATATTTACTATTCCTATGGATTATTACCAAAGCTATCAATGCATGGATGGAATTGTATGAGCTTCACAAAGTGTCCTGGCAAAGCTCCACCGTGTGAGACAGGTTGGAAGTGTTTGTCATCTCTCTAGAAGTTAGATTTTAGAGAGATCTGGAAATCTTTCCACTCCGATTCCATTATGAGAGAAATGTCACTTTTGGAAGTGCTCTCAGGCAGAGTCAAGCATGGCCCTTACCTTTATTTAGTGTCTCGTGAGATTGAAATGATTTTGTTACACATCTGTCTCCCCTCCCAAGCACAGCCCAGATATAACTAAGTGCCATCAGGACCTGTGTTCTGTGGAGGGCGCTCAGGCAGCATTGTATAAGAAGTGGATAAAATGCTTATCTTGACTTATGCCTTGAAAAATTCTTGAACCTAGGACTTTATAAAGGAAAAATGTGAATGGCTCTGTGGTCCACTGAGTCCTTATTAGAAAGAAAATCACCTAACTGTAGAGGAAATCCAACACACTATTTTCTTTCTTTTGCAGTAAGCAATGGGTAAATGATCTTAGTGTAGGTAGGCATTTAATCGCTATGGCAGTCTAATCTACCTCTGGTCTTGTCTTCTTGACAGATTCTGGGGCTGTCATTGGGGGATACCATAATTTTCTGCTCTTATGCTTAAACCCACCAGACTGATTAGAATGTGGCATCATTATTTTGGGGCCTTGGTTTTCAGCCTTTGCTTGAGAACTTGTTCAAAGCTATTCTTAAACTCACTCTTTTGGGCCTCACTCTCCACAGTTCCATAAACTGGGCTGTTAGCTCTATCAGCTAGAAATCACTCTTTACTCTGCTTAAATGGCTGTGCAACATTTTCTTTCTGTTTGTTTGCCACAAATTGAGAAAAGGTAGGCTAATACTGATACCTTTTAGTGATATGTCTCAGAAAGACAATGTGTTTCAGAGGATAAAATCATGATGAGACATGGCTCTGGTTAACAACTGTGGCACAGCTGATATTTAACTGTTTATGAGATGGATGGATGGATGGATGGATGGATGGAT